GAGAAGGAGACACAGAGAGACACAGATAGGGGAAGGAAAGGTATTTCTTTGAATGACTTACAGACTGTGGTCCTGAAATCCAAAAATAGTTGGGTGTGAAAAGAAAACCCAAGGATCCAGAAGTTTCTCAGCCTCCGAGGCTGGCTGTCTCGGCTGGTCCTCAGTGCGTGATGGAATCCCCTGGAGCAGTCGGCTCCGATGCAGTGGAGGAATGGACTTACTCGCAAGAGGAAAACCAGCAGGGAGAGATCAGAAGCTTCCTTCCTCCCTGTCTTTACCTAGGTTTCCAGCATAAAGTGGGGCCCAGATTAGAGGTGGGGTTTTCCAACTCAAATGATTTGGGTTAAAGGTTTGCCTTCCCACCTCAAGACCAAGATGAGAAGTGTGGCACACACCCTCAATCCCAGAACTCTAGCTGCAGAGTCAGGCAGATCTCTGAGTTCAAGGCCAGCCTGGTCTATAGAGTGAATTCCAGAGCAGACAGGGCTACACAGAGAATCCTGTCTTGAGAAAGAAAACAATCAAAAAACAAAGACACAAAAAATGAAGAGGATCTTCCTTCTTACTTCAATTTTAGCAAAAATCCCTTAGAGGTGTACCCTCAATGTTTCGGTTTTGCTTAATTCCAGATGTAGTCAAGTTGAGGAACAAAACTAGGCACCATAGTGACCCTGCCAACAGGATGATGCAGTCTTCATGACACCAGAGGATGTGGGGTCAGCTCCCAGCACCCACACGGCTGCTCACATTTTTAGCTTCTGATTCTGTGACAACCAGGCACACACGAGCCACACACGAGGCACACATGAGACACACATGAGACACACATGAGACACACACGAGACACACATGAGACACACACGAGGCACACATGAGACACACTCGAGGCACACATGAGACACACATGAGGCACACATGAGACACACATGCACAAACATAAGAAGATATGAATGCATATTGGATAAAAATAAAGATTCAAGAAAATAAAGATTTAAGAAACCATTCTTCATCTAATATGTTTTATATGTGTGCGTGGATGTGCGTGCAGGGAAATGAGACCTGCGGTGCCCGTGTCGTGGCTCACACACGGGAGTCATAGGATGATGGAGTCCCTGCTCTCCGACCTTTCTGTGGAGTCAGCAATGAAACTCAGGTTGTCAGAGTTGGTGGCCAGGGCTTCTATAATCTGCTACATCATATCCACCTCTTCTTTCGCTTTGTTGTGGTTTCTTTTCTCTATTTCTTTCTTTTTCTTTTCTCTCTACAGAGCTGTTCTGAAACTCAATATTTAGAGCAGGCTGGACTCAGGCAGACAGAGGTCCATCTGCTGTGTCTGTGCTGGTGTTAAAGTGTCTGCCGCCTCACAGCCTCTCACCTTCTGAGACTGCATTCACACAGCTCAGGCTGGTTTTGAACTCTCTGTCAAGGACCAGCCTCAACAAAAACACTTTTTAGAAGATAGGGCATGGGAGTTGAAGAAATATAAGCAAAGAATTTGAAGACGAATTAAAATAATACGACAGAAAATATAGAAAGTGTTGGGAGGGCATTTCAGTGACTAAAATCCTGAAGTTTTACCAGCATTTATTATTTTATAGCTTTTATATTTAATATAAATGGGGACGAGAAGGTAACAAAGGCTTTATTAACGTAATACAAAGGATAACTCACACAGTCAATGGCTTCATCGCTCTGAGACATCAAATCATCTGCATTCTGTTATCTAGGTAGCAAAGGAGGTCTATGTCACATATGCTGAAGACTTCCCTTCCCCAGGTGACCTCATAGTTACTGAAGAAGGAGCAGAAGCACATTTGCGTATCCTGGCCACCTGTCAGGATGGGATGTAACTATCTTAATTTCAAAAGAACCAGGCAATCATCTCCTGAGTTAGTAGGTGAAACTATGCCTGTCAAATCTGCAAACTCTCTGACCCTCAGACAAGGTGGAAATGGGCCTGCATTTTTGGCCCCCACAACTCTCTCTGTAGCTGTGGACGTCCCTGAGTTCCTGATCATCCTGCCTCTCCCTTCTGAGCTCTGAGAGGGCAGGCCTGCCTCACTCCACAGCCTCAGGATCACGTGTCCACTAGCACAGCCAGCTGTGGCTTCTGTACCAGTGTGTATGGTCAGTGCAGCTGATGTGACCACAGTGTCCTGGGAGAGGACACAGTGGACAAGCGGTCAGGCCAGTTAGTGTCCACTCTGGCTCCTGGTCATAGTTTTTCTTCCCCTCCCCCAGGGAAGGTATAGACTGGGGACCCAGGAGGAGATAAGGTTTATAACATCAAGGCACCTGGAGTCCAAGGTTCCTTGCAGCTTCCTGCTGAGTCTGCGCTGTGTGGAGTGGGGTTGGGCGGGGCTGGGGATGACTGAGTCTGTGCTGTGTGGAGTGGGGTTGGGCGGGGCTGGGGATGACTGAGTCTGTGCTGTGTGGAGTGGGGGTTGGGCGGGGCTGGGGATGACTGAGTCTGTGCTGTGTGGAGTGGGGTTGGGCGGGGCTGGGGATGACTGAGTCTGTGCTGTGTGGAGTGGGGGTTGGGCAGGGCTGGGGATGACTGAGTCTGTGCTGTGTGGAGTGGGGTTGGGCGGGGCTGGGGATGACTGAGTCTGTGCTGTGTGGAGTGGGGTTGGGCGGGGCTGGGGATGACTGAGTCTGTGCTGTGTGGAGTGGGGTTGGGCGGGGCTGGGGATGACGGAAGGTGAGAATTCTGTGCCAGCCTTGCTTTCTTTCCCTAAATCTGAAGTTGTTTCCAAGGGGCTGGAGAGAAGGCTCCGTGGTTAGGAGCCCTTGTTGGCCCAGTAGCCACATGGTGTCCCAGAACCATCTCTAGGTCAAGCAGATGGGGTGGGCACAGGGAGGACAGGTTTCTGAAAGACCTACCTTCCCCTCATGTTAGTAGTTCCTGGAGCTGGAACAGCGCCCATGGCATCGTCTCTGTCTGCAGTTGTGACTGGGCTGACATAACTCTGGTGAGTCCAGCCCAGCTCCTGATGCTGAACAGAGATTCAGCGAGGATTCCTTCCCCCTTCTCTCACCCAGAGCATTTCCTTACAACGTGTTGGCCTTGGGTGTCAGCATTTCATTTGCATTTTAATTAACTTTTTTTTATATATATTTATTTATTATGTATACAGTGTTCTGCCTGCATGTGTGCCTATACACCAGAAGAGGGCACCAGTTCTCATTACAGATGGTTGTGAGCCACCATGTGGTTGCTGAGAATTGAACTCAGGACCTTTGGAAGAGCAGGCAATGCTCTTAACCTCTGAGCCATCTCTCCAGCCCAGCTCATTTGCATTTTAATGAATAATGTTTGCCTGAAGATCAGAGAAGAAAACATCCCCACTGGTCAGCCTTACAGCCTTACAGACCAGGCAGTGATAACACAACCTTTAGCCGCCATAGAGACCGGAGGGAGGTGCATGCCTTTAATTCCAGTGGTGCACGTCTTTAACCTAAGCCCAGAGAGGATTATAATACAGGGGGAGACAGCTCTCAGCCCCAGTCCCATTCTGAGGTTCCTGGAGCAGGATCGCCATTCTCCACCTGAGGTCGAGGGAAGAGCAGAGTCTGACTGCTTTGCTTTTCAGATCTTCAGGTGAACCCCAGTTTCTCTCTCTGAGTTTCTATTAATCGTGCTTCGCTCAGGAATCTCCCCAACAGGAGGGGTTGTTGGTGGCAGAGTGGGCTGGAGTGGGGTGGTGAGATGAACTTTCACCTCTTCCTGATAGAGAAAGGAACAAGCAGAAGGCCCACACACCCTGTTCACATCAGCTTTCAGTTTCGGTGTTCCGATTGCTCTACTGACTGGGAGCGCTCTGCTGGAGCCCGCTGTGTCTAAGCCTCTGCAGAGGCCATGACAGCTCATGCCAAGCTCTGCTTAGGAACTATGACCCTGTTGGAGATGTGGAAAGCAGAGCCTGGTGTTGGGAAGAGCCGAGCTTAGCGCTGTGAGAGCACCTTGGAGCAGGGCTGAGCTCCGGGAAAAAGATCTGGGGTCTGCTAAGTCCTCTAGGGTCCCCATCCCCCATGCAGCCACCTTGGGAGCAAAGAGAAGCAGGTATGTTTGCTCTGAAGATATCTTGAGCCTGAAGAAGAAACCAGGAAGGAGTTTATGTTTGGTGAGTCCCAGCAGGTCACATGCCTGGTGACTGAGCCTGGAGACACCTTAGAAGTCCCTGAGTTTGTCCTTCTCAGGCCTTTAGGCTCCCCCTTTCCTAACCTTCTAAAGAGCAGTGATTGGGGCAGACTAGGGTTTATTTATGTTCTTTTCAAGCCTGTCTATACCACACAGGGTCTTTATCAAGGACAGAGAGAGGAGGATAAACCTGTCTGTGGGACGTGTGTGTGTGTGTGTGTGTGTGTGTGTGTGTGTGTCATCTGCCGAGTGTGGGGTGATAGCCTGGAACTATGGCAGGGACTGGACTGGGACTGAAGTGTGAAAAACTCCACAACCAAAAGCTCATCCAAGGCCCTCGTGATGGCAGCACAGCCTCCTCGGGGACAAGTCTGTCTCTGAAGCTGCTCAGATGGCTCCTGGTCACAGTTATGGAACAACAGAAGCACAGGAGGCGGCCATGCTGTCCCCGAGGGAGGGGTGGGCACAGGCTCCATGTCTGGGGTCACAGGCAGTGTGGACGTGGAGAGAGGGATTGACGGTGTCTCCTCTGGGCTCTCCTCGGGGTGCTAAGGGGGCAGGGCCTGGGTTCTGGGTAGAGCTTGGCTGTACTGTGTCTGGGTATGGGGTGGAAATGAAGGAATGGCTTCCTCTCAGAGGACTTGGATGTCCCCAGCTCCCCAGTCTTGTTCTGCAGGGCTGGGAGGAACCCGGGCATGGTTGTTTGCCTGGTAGTGTAGACGTGTTTTGTCCAGTGGGGCTGACACCAGCCCTGATGATCCTCTCCCTGCTCAGGTGTCCAAGCTCAGTGTGGAACCTGCCTCCTGCTGCAGCCCAAGGGTCTTGGTCTCCCCACCTGTGTCTCCCTGGCTCCAAGGACATGGACAAGTGCTGCAAGCATGCTCTGCTCCGCTGTGTCACCTGCCTGTTTGTCCTTGCACAGCTGCTTACCCGGGCGTCCACAGGTGAGTGTGCTCTGCTCTCTCTCCCATGTCTCCCTGCGGTGACCGGGATCTGCCACGACCAGGCTGCTCAGATGTGCACAGACTCATTAATACTGGGACCCAGGGGTTGTCTAGTGTTCCATTTACAATGAGTTACTAATAAGATCTAGGCTGAGCCTGCTTGCATGAGCGTTCGAGAGGCTGGGAATGGAAAATTGCGAGTCCTTGCCCTGCCTGCGCACAGTGGCCACACCCTACCTGGGGAGCAGAGCTGGGAACACAGCCTTGGATCTGGCAGTGTGCCAGGGGTGTGAGGAGCTGCAGAGGCCAGGGTTGGCTGAAGCAGGGTGAGCCAGGCAGAGAGAAGCAGGGGCTGAGGGTGGGAGGTCCTGCAGGGGTGAGGGTGGGAGGTTCTGCAGGGGTGAGGGTGGGAGGTCCTGCAGCAGATGGCACCCTCAGTCCCAGTATCACAGTCCTTCTGGGCTAGAGGGTCAAGGGCACTCAGACTAAGGCAGCCATCTTTCTTCTTTATCAAAAAAGCTATTGGGATCCCAGGTAGGGCTGGGTGATTTTTCACAGAAGTACCCTTTGTCTCCATGTATATGGGTGCTTTTTCCAGAAAGTATGACTGTGTGCCCCCTTCATGTCTGATACCACAGAGTCTAGAAGACTGTTACAGACAGTCGTGAGTGCTGGGAATGGAACCCGGGTCCTCTGCAAGTGGAATTAGTGTTCTTGGCTGCTCAGCCCTCTCTCCAGGCCTCTGCTCTGTGTCTTAAGGTTCACGTATAATTCAGTGGAGGAAGATGTGCGCTAATACAGTGAATGCAGGGCTGGAGGTTATGAGTTTCCTGTGTGTGGTCTAAGACAGACCAGGTAGAACGATGTTTCTCAAGGTGCGTTCTCAAACCCAAGGTGCGAGCATCTGCAGGGATTTTACAAAGGCAGGATCTTGGCCCAGCCCAGACCTACTCAAGCCTGAGCTCTGGGCTGAGACCCAGGGCACCTGGGACCAGGTTCATGGAAGCTGGAGAGTGAAATACCAAGAGGTTTCCTAATGGAAGGGTCTGGGGCCAGGGGCACAGGCAAAATGGGGAGTCTCTCTCTCTCTCTCTCTCTCTCTCTCTCTCTCTCTCTCTCTCTCTGAGACAGGGTTTCTCTGTAGCTTATGAAGCCTGTCCTGGAACTGCTCTTGTAGATCAGGCTGGCCTCGAACTCACAGAGATCTGCCTGCCTCTGTCTCCCAAGTGCTGGGGTTAAAGGCGTGCGCCACCACTGCCTGGCTCTGAAGATCTCTTATACATTAACCATAGATGCCTACCCACAATGCCTAGAGCAACCTCATCCGGCCTCTGCCTCCTGGTCCCAGGACATTCCGTGTCATAGTGGTTGTCCTCTGCTTTAACCTGTGTCTCTTCAGTCCTCTCACGGTGACATCTGTGTCCACAGAGCATTTCCGGGTGTTGGGTCCCTCAGACCCCATCGTGGCTGCTCCAGGTGGGGAAGCCATACTTCCCTGCTCCCTGTCTCCAGCCATGAGTGTGGAGAAGATGGAGCTCAGGTGGTTCCGCTCCAGATTCTCAGAAGCAGTGTTTGTCTATCGGGACCAACAAGAGCAGAAGCAAGAGCAGATGGCTGGGTATTCAGGACGCACCTCGCTGGTGAAGGACCAGTTCCACCAAGGCAAGGCTGCTGTGCGCATCGGAAATGTCCGGGTCTCAGACAGAGGGATGTATGTCTGCTTCTTCAGACAGGGTCTCTTCTATGAAGAGGCCATCTTGGAGCTGAAGGTGGCAGGTTGGTTAACTGATCCCTGTTCTAAAGATGTTGGGGGACCTGTGTGTGGGAGGAAAGTAAGGGCTCATGTCACTCAGCTCCCTAATATATTTTTGAGCAATGTCTTCTGTAGACCAGACTGTGGTTAAGCCAGTCGTGTAGTGGAGGGTGACACTGAACATTGGATCCTCCTGCTTCTTCCTAATTCTGGGCTCACAGCCATGCTCTGCCATACATGGCTCTGGGCCATTATTGTTATTTCTGTTTATTTTTTAGTTTTTTTTGAGATGAGAAATAGGTGATACATTCTTACATAGGTTATTTCAATCTAAATTCTATATGTGTAGCCCCTAAAATGTCCTTGACCTTGTTCTGGGGACCAGGGATCCTGCCAATGTCATGGTAAACACCAGCTGTTGGATTTTATATTTTAGAGGCGTAGGCAGAAAAAGTCAGAGAGCTCCCAAGAAACGTCAGTGAGAAATGATGATCAATGCTTTAGACAAATGATCGGGTAGAGAAAGGGAGGGCATTCAGGGCTTCCCTGGGTGGAGCTGGGTGTCCTGCTCTCCTGGAGCTCACAGGTGTGTGGAGAATGGGGAGATGGAGTGATGGTTTCTACGTCAGGGCTCTGGGGTTCAATGTCCTTCAGTTCCTCTGGGTCTTGTGGTTGATAGAACAGTGACCCGTGCCCTCTTTCCCATAGCAGTGGACACTGTTGTTTTTCTGCTGTTGAGCAATGGGGGCAAATCCTGGTCCCAGCCTTGGAGGGCTTTCCTCTTCAATACCTGTGTTTCCCATGAGAGGTTCCTATGAGACACACAGGTGATCCTGGGGTCCCTGAGCCTAAAGTGCCTTCTACGTCCTCACATGTGTCCTCCTGCAGGGATGGGCTCTGTCCCTGAAGTGCACATCAAAGATACAGAAGATGGTGCTGTGTGTGTGGTGTGCAGTGCTTCAGGGTGGTACCCGAAGCCCCAGGTGCAGTGGAGAGACTCCAGAGGGGAGAATCTCCCAGCATCCTCTGAGACCCACACTGAAGATGCTGCAGGTCTGTTCAGCATGGAGAGCACATTGGTGGTGAGAGACAGGTCCTTGGGGAGTGTGACCTGCTCCACCTTCAACCCCATCCTGGGCCAGGAGAAGGCCATGGCCCTGTTCATCCCAGGTGAGAGCTGTTCCTCACTCCTACAGAGCTCGGGAAGTGGGTGGCCTTTCTGGAGTGTGCTGGGCTGTCTGTCCTCAGGTGTGCCCCTCACTGGCTCTCTGCCTGGGCCACAGAGCCCTTCTTCCCTCAGGCTTCTCCCTGGATGCCAGCTTTCGCTGTGAGCATGACCATGATGGGACTTCTAGTCCTAGGGTCTTGCTGTTTTCTCAGAAGGGAGCAGCGTGCAAGGCTGCAGGTGCATCAGGAACTGGAGAATCTGCAGCGTGAGCAAGAGGAGTTGCAGAAGACAAAGGAGCATGCACTGAAGGCAGCGCGTAAGTCCTGATGGCAGTGAAGGACTGGGCCAGAGTCTCCAGGAAGATCCAGGGTTCTGGGATCAGAGTAGGTGGCCCCCGAAGCCCCGAGAGCAGGGCTGGAGTCCTGGGGTCAGCTGGGCTCTAGTGCAGCCTAGTAGGAAACAACATTGTTTCCTGTTTTTCTGCCAAGTGCACAGCTCCTCTCTTCTCACTGTTTTTCAGGCAGACTCCAGGAGGAGCTGGGTGAGTCACGCTTTTCTTCCTGAGCCCTTTGTGTCCCCTCATGCTTTTCCTACTGACTCCTTGTCCCCTCTGTAGCCCAGCAGCTCACTTGAGTCCTCATGTTGTTTTTCAGATCAAAGGAAAGCAGCTTATATGGCTGGTGAGTGACTGCCCCATTGTCCCATGGTTCCCTGTGCACATGCGCCCAGGGGTGCCCTCTCCTTGATTCTAGGCAGAATGGGAACCCCTTGAGGGGACAGAAGTGTAAGATTCTGGGAAGGGGAAGCCTGTCCCATGGGCTTTTCCAGATCTCTGCTCAGAGCTGGAAGACCTGGGTCTCTGGATGTGCCCTGTGCCCCGGGGCCTTATTCCCACCGATGTCTGTCATCTATATTGTTGACTTTTGTCTCCATTAGCTCTGGACTATTGCCTGCTCTGGGGGAAAAACAACAGGGTTAAACTTTCAGTGAAGATGCAGGCAGGAACCTGGGGCAGGAACTGAAGCAGGGACCACAGAGAACAACCTCTTGCTGTCTCGCTCCCAATGGCCTGCTCAGCTTGCTTGCTGGTCCTCTCCTGTCCTTCCTAGTACTGACATTATCTACAGTGGGCTGACCCCTTCTACAATAATCCTAAACCATGATAACGCCCCACAGCCTTGCTTGCAGCCATTTTTATGGGGGCATTTTCTCAGCTGAGTCTCCCTCCTCTCAGATGACTCTAGCTTGTGCCAAGTTGACACAAAGCCAACATGCAGAAGATGTTTATAAGTGAATCAGGTCACAGACCCTGGAGTGTGACCTCCACTCATTCCACAGTCATTCCCCAGGGAGTCGGTTCCCTCAGCTCTGAAGGTGTTGATCAAAGTGATGGGCAGAGCCAGGGCTGCGGACCTGAGTGGGAAGGGATGGTGAGCTGGGTGCCCGTGGAATAGTGGTGCCCTGCTGTAGAGATATTTAAGTGTCCATGAGGAACAGTGGGCACTTCACCCAGAACTCACTTCCTGTCCATGTACACACATTCTTTTTTTCAGCACATCTCCAAATCCACCTTTCCAAGAAGTGCTGATGTCATCATGGTTTCTGATAACTATTGAATAACTGTATTTTATTCTCTAAGATTTTTTCCTGTATTGTAAGGTTTTAATTAAGAGTGAAACTGAATAATTATAGATTGTTACTACTGCTACGACTACTACTATTTTAGCTTTGATTTTTGGAGTAGAGGGAGCCGGTTGAGTGTTTAAAAGCCACACAGAATTGGGACAATGGGGGACTAAACCCTAAAGCACCATCGTTCTCATCTGTGGTCTAGGGGATTTCCCATAATACTTTGCTGCCTCTGCATCTTGCAGAATCCAGCTCCTCAGGGTCCTCTCTCCTCCTAGGTAAACCTCACCTTTAGAATGGAGGGAGGATGGGTTGGTGGACTGTTTGAGTGGGCTGTTCTGATTGGTTCTCATAGAATATGTTCCTTTGCAGCCTGGAGGAAGGCCCAGCTGTATGCAGGTGCGTGACTCTGGAGACCGCTGTCCTCTGGGCAGAACATGGGTCTTAGGGTTTCCCCTAAGTGAGGAAAAGCAGCTTGAGGAGGAAAGTTTGTGTGACTCACACTCCCAGTCCACACCACAGCAAGTCAAGGCAGGAATTCACACAGGGCAGGATGTGGAGTTCAGAGCGAATGCAGAGTCCATGGAGGACTGTTGGGTACCATATTAGCCACCCGGCTTGTTCTGTTTCTTTTCCCATGTTCCTATGACCACTGTCCATGGGATGACACAGCCCACCACGGCCTGCATTCTCCAGTTTGAACTATCAATCATCCATCAACCAAGAGAATTCCCCATGGGCTTGCCTACAGGCCAATCCTATGGAAGCATTTTCTCAGTTAATATTCCTTCTTCCCAGATGACCCTACCTTGTGCCAAGCTGGCATAGAAGCTTGTCAGCACAATGTAGCCATTGTCCTTGGAGCTGTCGGAGCAGTGACTGCCCAAAGGACACATGCACAAGACTGGGCACATTAGGAGAGAGGAGTCACACGGCCTACCCTTGCCAAGATGTGTTTTCTCTCTCACTCTGTGTGTGTTCTGTAAGTGTGTGTGTGTGTGTTCTGTAAGTGTGTGTGTGTGTGTGTTGTATGTGTGTGCACGTGTATGTGTGTGTGCTGACATGAGTGTGGAGGTCAGAGGACAACTTCCAGAAGTCTTTGCTTTCTTTCCATGAAGTGGTTCCCCGGGATCAATCTCAGGTTGTCTGGGTTGGTGACAAGCACCATTATCCTTGCTACGTCATCTCTGTTACCCTCTATGAGGCAGATGAAGGGGGCTGGGGGAGGCCTCCTAATCAGGCTCTTCCCCAGTTCATATGTAGACAGTTCATGGCTGTTGAGGGAGAGGGATTTTTTCTTTAATGTTGTGGTCGCTCATCCATGGCTCATGCTTCTCTAAGGAACCCTGATGAAGGCCATTGTGTCTGTGTTCCCACGCTCTGTGCTCATGTGGACTTTCCTCTGATCTGTCGTTGGTACCCTGTCCCTGTGCACAGACATGTGTGCACCTCACACAGCACCGGCTCTCATGTTTCCTCACCTTCTCCAGCTCCCGTCATCCTCTTCTCTATGTGTGCACGTGTGTCCCCACCCACTCTCCGGCAGGATGAGATGAGTGTCCTTCTGTCCTTGTCAGTGCTGGCCTCCATCAGAACACCACTGGGAGCCTCCTCGGGCTCACAGAACGCATTCTGGTTTGTCCTCTGGTGTAAGTCATTGTCAGCATCAGCATGGCCCAGTCTGCAGTCACCTGGTTCGGTGGACATCTTCTAGGAGCAGCGTTAGTGGCCAGTTCAGCTTTGCGTAGAGACTGGTGAGGGGTCACAATGACTCTGTGGATCAGAATTATTGCTTTCAGGAAGATTCCAGAAGTCAGGTCAGGCAGCATGGGACTCATGTCTCACTAAGATAGTCTTTGGTTCCATGTCCTCCTTAAATTTGGGATTCCTTGCAGGACAGTGCTGGTGCACACATTCAATCCCAGCACTCAGGAGGCAGAGGCAGGGGGATCTCTGTGAGTTTAAGGCCAGCCTGTTCTACAGAGCGAGTTCCAGGACAGGCTCCAAAGCCACAGAGAAACCCTGTCTCAAAAACAAACAACGAAAGAATGAATAAATGAAAAGTTGGATTCCTTGTGCTTTTGTCTCAGTTTTCACAAAACTCTTTTTCTTCCTAGTCTTCTGGTCTCTTGGTGGCGTTCTCTCTCTCTCTCTCTCTCTCTCTCTCTCTCTCTCTCTCTCTCTCTGTCTCTGTCTCTCTGTGCTTTGTGTTCCCTGCTGGATTCCTTCTCCAGAGCACCTGGCTGCTCAGGGATTGGGTGTTTGGATCAGGTGTTCTGAGTTGGTGTTCGGTGCTTCCAGGATGCTTATGGGTTTGCTGAGGCCTGTGTGATCCACTCGAAATTATACATGACTTTCTGTAGTCTTTGCATCACGTGAACTAGTGTGCAACTTAGAATTTCTCACAAGCATGTGTGTGTGTGTGTGTGTGTGTGTGTGTGTATGTATGTATGTGTATGAACATTTTGCCTGATTATATGTCTGTGTGCCATGTGCAAGCCTGGTTTTGTTGGAGTTTCAATGAGTGTGGTTTATTCCCCGGAACTTGAGTTACAGATAGTCATCAGGATTCATGTGAGTGCTGGGAACTGAACCTGGGTCCTCTGCGAGACCATCTAGTGCTTTCAAGCACTGAATCCTTTTCTGTTGTTTGTGGTTCTGTAAGATCAAGCCAGGACCTTGCAGGCACTGAGCTGTGGCATGCCATGCATGCTGTTGTTTTTCTGAGACAGGATCTCACTATGTAGCTCAGGCTGGTCTCAAACTCAAGGATCCCCTGCTTCATCACGTCCCTCCTTCCCTGTCTTGGAAATTTTCACATTCAACGATGTCCGTCTTCCAGGATGGTTGTGTGTCTGGGCCCTGACAAGCCATAGTGAGACCTACATTGCCCTTCTGCCTTTATTAGGGTAGATGTTAAGCTTCATTGGTCAAATCTTTATGGGAAGACTAGGGCAGGATGAGTTTGTGTGTGTGTGTGTGTCTGTGTGTGTATGTGTTTGCATGTTTATGTGTGTCTCTCTGTGTGTATATTTGTGTGTGTTTATGTGTGTATGTATATGTTTGTTCAGCAGGTACATTGTCCCCACAACTCCCAGGTCTGTGTTTCACGAGACAAGCACTGACCAGATGGGTGCAGTGTCTGAAACCCCTCACATGACCTGTGCTTCTCTTGTAGATTGGCGCAGGGAGCACTTCCAGTCCTGTGAGTGACTCTGGTCCTTAGGGACACTCCTCCTGCTCTTCCCATGGCTCTGGTCCCTCCTTCAGCTCCTGTGGTGACAACCTCAGTGGTGGTGGTCTGGGAGGCAGAGGGGATGCTCACTAAGCTGGATCTGGTTCTCAAGGGCCCTGTGACCTTGAACCCCTAGACGGCCTTTTGTTCCCTTCCCCTACTTGCTAGTCATGGTCTTGAGCCACAGGCTGTTCTGAGAGGGACTTGTCTCCCTAGAAGAAGCTAAGAGACTTTGAGGTGGAGGTGGGATGGCTGAGGTCTTGTTTAGGGGCTGGGGAGGACCTCCCATGATTGGTAACTGTCCTGCAGGGTCTGTCATTCTGAATCCAGACACTGCCCACCCCATCCTCGCCATCTCTCAGGACAGGAGGCGTGTGACCCGGAAGGATACCACTCTGTGCCTGGATGACCTCTTCTGTGTGTTAGGCATGGAAGGCATCTCCTCCGGAAGACGCTACTGGGAGGTGGAGATAAGGAATGGAGACAGCAGCAAGTGGACTCTGGGGGTCTGCAGGGAAGATGTGGAGAGAAAAGGCTTTTACTCAGAGTGTCCCCAAAAGGGGTTTTGGACTGTGGGGCGGTCTAGCAGTGGATACTGGGCCTATATTGACAGTGGGAGGGCTTCATTATCCTTTAGGCAAGCTCCCCAGTGTGTGGGGGTGTTTGTGGACTACAGCGAAGGCGACATTTCCTTCTATAACATGAGTGAGATGTCCCACATTTTCTCCTTCCGTGAAGCTTCCTTTGCTGGGACTCTTTTCCCATACTTCAGGCTCAAGTCCGGAGATGTTTCAATGATTCTCAGCTCCTTGGAGCATGACTCTGAGGGGGAGGAAGGGGAGGAGAAGGGAAGAAGGAGGAAGGGGAGGAAGGGGAGGAGGGGGAAGAGGAAGAAGAGGGAGAAGAAAGGGAAGAGGTTATTTTTGCCTTCTTTGGAGGAGTCTGGGAATCCTCCAGGGGAGGGGCTCACCCCAGGCTCTGGAGTTGTTGACTCTCCCCCAGGGGAGGAATCCCCATTCCTCCCTCATCCTGGTGACATTTTCCTCCCTTAGTGCAGTTCACTGCCTCTAAGTTGTCAGTGTGAGTCATTGTGGGACTGTAGAAGCCACAGGAAAGCCCGCAGGCTGAGTCCTGGAAGGGCCTGGAGTCTTGACACTGCTCTCAGGTCTGACTCTGTGGCTGTGGGAACAGGGCGTCCATGCCTTGTGTTCAGACACCAGGCGATGAGCCCTGACCATTGCTTCAGCTGTTTTGAATTCTGGGTAGGCATGCTCCTTTTGGTGTTAAATGGCATTTTCCTGGGTTTCATACCTTTTGGTAGGAAACTGACCAAGGGCTGAATGGACATTGTATTAATTCATTCATCTGGCCATGGGACTCCAGGGTCTTCTGTGTATGTTGGCTCTTGTGACCAGTGTGCCGTGAATCAGGGGGAGCTGACCTCTGACACATGACTTCCTGTCCTCAGGATTCGTTCCCAGTAGTGGGATTGCTGGGTCATAGATAGTTACATTTGGTGATCTTCTCTGTGGACAACAACCTGTGCATCAGGTGTCCATGGACCAGCCTCATCCTAAGTCAGTCTATTAATAAAATAATTTATTGCACAAACCGTTTGATTTCTATAATCGAGTCTCTCTCCCCACACATAAATATACATATGACTATGACAATTCATATTTTCTAAAGATTGACTTCATGTATTTTAACTGTTTGTTTGTGTATGTAGATATGTATGTATGTATGTTTGTATGTGTGTATGTACCTACCTACCTATCTATGAATCTCTTTCTCTCTCTATGTATGTATATATGTATGTATGTATCTATCTATCATTTATTTTTTAAAACAGGATCTCATGTGACCCATGAACCTCTCTTTGTAGCCATACATGTTGTTATGAATGAGAATGCCCCCTGTAGTCCCATATGTTTGGATACTTGGTTCCCATTGGTTGTGGGGTTGGGGCAGGATGTATGTAGCCCTGATGAAGTCATCACTGGGGTGGGCTTTGAGGATTCAAAGCTGTGCGTCATTCCCAGCTCGTCCTCGCTGCTTCCTGCGTGTGGATGAGGACGTAAGCTCTCAGGTCCCTGCTGTAGTCACCATGCTTCCGGTCCCCCGTCACGGACTCTGCCCTCTAGAGCACTCATGGCGCAACAAGATGGTGCAGGTTCCTCCACCTGTGTTCTTGCTGAGACATTTCAAGTCTAACTATAATGTGATCTGCTTGGAGAATCCCTTGGAACCCCAACTGTATTCTAGGTACCCGAGGTCAATAGGCCCCAGCTAGCTCATCGTGTCTTCTGCTAATTTGCTTGCCTGTGTGAAGGCCCCTGAAGTTGTTGAGTAAAATGTCAGAATGGGGATTTGCATTCAAAATCTGGACACTTGGGTCTCATCTGGGCCTCAGAGTACCTGGGCGTCGTCCCTTCTTGGTCCCTGAGTACCTGGGTGTCATCCCATCTGTGTCCTGAGTACCTGGGCGTCGTCCCATCTGTGTCCTGAGTACCTGGGTGTCATCCCTTCTGGGTCCCTGAGTCCCTGGGTGTCGTCCCATCTGTGTCCTGAGTCCCTGGGTGTCATCCCTTCTGGGTCCTGAGTACCTGGGTGTCGTCCCAGCCAGCTGATATCAAGACTTTCTGTTGGCTGTGAAGTGTCTGAGTGGTCATCTCTGTTCCCATTACACAGTAAGTCCAAGTAAACGCTTTCTTATATACATTGCCTGGTTATGGCATTTCAGCACAGAAATAGAGAAATAACTAATATGGAAATTTGTATTAGAATTGTGGGGTCTGTTTTCTCCACAAATTTAATGACTGTAGATTTTAATGTCAATTGACATAAACTAGAGTCATTTTGGAAGAGGGATGAACTCTCAGTTGAGAAAGACTCCCATCAGATTGGCCTGTGCACAAGTTCATGGGTCATTTTCATAACTAGCGATTGGTGGGGTTGGCCCAGCCTGTCGTGAGTGGTACCATCCCTGGGTGCTGGTCCTGGGTGCTTTAAGAAAGCAAGTTGAGGCTCTGCTGCAGTTCCCACCTTCCTGCAATCAGATGAGATACCTGCCTCCAGGTTACACCCCCCGCACTGAACACTGTCCCACAAGACACTCTTCTGCCCAATCCCAAGCACCCGAGCATCCTCCCTGTGGCCGGCCCTCACCTGCAACCCCAGCAGACCACACAGGCACAGGCATGAAACACACCAGTTGAAAAACAGTCGGCTGCATAGACACAGGTGCAATCACAACAGTTGGAAGAACCAGCACAGGCAGAGGCCACAGCAGGTGGAGGAGAAGAGCAAATGACAGCGTAAGAATCCATCCAACAATGGAAAGAGCCGTCCTGCCTCCACCAGAACCCAGTGATCCTGCAACAGAGAAGCCTGAACATCCAATGTCGCAGAAACACAGGAAAATGAACTTAAAGATTGCTCTATGAAGATGACAGAGGCCTTAATGAGGAAACACAAAATTCTCTTAACGACATCAAGGAAAAACAAATCAGAAAATCGAAGAAATCAATAAATCCCTTAAAGAATGCTAAGCAAGCCAAGAAAAACCATCACCTGATGAAAGAAACCATTCAACACCTGAAAACTGAAATAATCAAGAATCAAGACACAATCAAGAGAACACAAACTGAGGGAGTTCTGGAAATGGAAAATCTGGGGAAGTGAACAGGAGCTACAGATGCGAGCATCACTAAGAGAATACAGGAGATGGAAGAGAGAATCTCAGGCATTGAAGACACGATGGAGGAAACACTCGCCAGTCAAATAAAATGCAGTGTTTCCGTCTCATATCAGGATCCATCTGGTATGGGACAGAAAGAAGGAAGAATTTTGGAAAGATATTACTTCTCCCCATTAATATTTTTGTCTCTATAGTACCTTTCATTGAATGTATGTCTGTATAAATAATGTTTATGTTTTCCACAATGAACATTAAATTTTCTGCAGTAATCTATGAAGTTTCCAGGAAGAAGGTGGGTTCCACAACCACGAATCCACCTGGCTGTTATGACATCATGATGCTGACAGTGCTGCTTTCAGATCGGTTTTGGATACCAGCTGCTCAAGATGGCTCCAGCTTGGTTAGCTGAAATGGTGCACCACCTTCGTACAACGTTCTGGCCAGAACTTGAAATAAGAACTTCAAACAGAATTTCAAATAAGAATTTCAGCAAATCCACATTGACTACTGAGAGACTATTTGTAATTACACCAGACAGTAACCTTGGTACTTAACCATCATTTTACTCTCAAAGGATCCCACAGAAGAACATCGCCCCCATAACACCTGGGAGTAATTCTAGAAGACAACGTCCCCTCTTCTAACAAAGTTTGTAGTCAGGGTTAGGAACATCAATTAGGGGTTGATTATAGCTGATATAAGGTTGGGGGTTGGGGTGTAAATTTTGTAATCTCAAGGATCTTCTTTGGGAAAGAAGGAAAATACAAGTAAAAAGGGGGTATAAATATGATAAGCTAGATTGTTGAATATACTTTTATTCAACTTTTAAAGCAACTATTCGTTTTAAATGTTTCACATTGGTTTTACTTTTGTATATTGTACACAAGTTTTATATTGATACAAATTTGAAATTAATTTGTTAAAACATACTGTACATACATTTTGTTACCTACTGATTAGGAGAATAAAGAAATATAGGTTAGTAATTAATTACTTAGTATAATCAAACTTGTAGCCACATTAGGGATGTTTTAAAGGTCAAAAACACATAATTTAGATAGATCATCTTCAATTGCCGCAGAGATCTGTAGAATATGGCATTTAAATGTTTTAATATCTTAGGTCCTTCTTTTTTATGGCAATGAGACGTGTCTGCTTCTGGCAGCACCAATCTAGTTCAGAGAAGATAATGGACACCGAAGAAACTCCACATGAAGTTTACTTTCTTTGTGGGAAAAGTAAGCCACTGGGCAAGAAAATGCCCATGTCCCAAGCTGACAGTATGCTGTCCTAATTAGACAAGCAGCACACGAAATATCCTGCTTCCAGAAAAGTCTGTTGAATTTGTTATGCCCGTAGGCTGAAGACTGATGCCCCAATGTTGCAGAGGAACTTTTGGTGCCTGTTCAGGAAGTCACCCATCTCTGTCATTACTCAAGTCACTTGCTTGCACTTCCTGCTTACACAGTTAATATGATTTCCTTCTTGGGTCTCTGAGGGAGTTCAAGACTAGTTAGCTATAGTTATAGTTTACCAGATACAGAAAGCAAGTTATGATAAAAAGTAAATTAAGTATAAGACTTTGGACTCACCAAAATAGGATAGATATAAAATATTTTCTCTGAGTTTGTCAAATGCAAATGGACTAGACATTGTTGGTGTATTTACTGCCTGTATATATTGTATATAGTCATTGTATTTATTGTATATAGTTTTCTTATATTAGTTATAGTTTTCTTTTTTTTTTAGACAAAAAGGAGAAGTGTAGTGGCATTTCATTTGTATTTTACTAACTAAATACTGCCTGAAGATCTGAGAGTGAACCAGTCCCACTGGTCAGCCTTACAGACCAGATCACGGTAACACATACCTTTAACCTCAGTAGCCGTAATGACGCACACCTTCTTCTCGAGTTCTGGTTGCCATAGAAACTGGGTGGTGCAGGCCTTTGATGGTGGTGGTGCATACCTTTAATCCCAGTTCTAGAGAGGATTATGAAATAGGAGGAAACAGCTCTCAGAGACAGTGTCTCTCTGAGATTCCAGGACAGAGGAGTGCCATTTCAGACTGAGGTCAAGGTAAGAGCCAGTGGCTGGCTGTTTTGGTTTTCAGATCTTCAGGTCCAACCCCAATTTCTGACCTTGAGTTTTTATTAAAAGCGTGTCTCCACCGGCCTCTCAGCTGATTTGTTTCACCAATTCCAAGGGTGCGTTGATTTCTCCTGTCTTCAGCTGCATCCCTTGGCCTGAACAGTCAGGGATGAGCATGCAGTGCCCAAGGAGACCACAAGAGGGCGCAGGTACATAGAGTTGGAGATCTAGGCAGCTGTGAACTCCACCTTCAGACACAGAC